ACACACTTGTGAAAGAGCAGGGCATAAGTTATACCACAAGTTATTCCATGGTCTAGACACTATAGTTCCCTTTCTTTCCTGAATGTTTATATAGATTGAAGAGGTAGAAAACTTCTTGTTTTCTCGTTATTAATGGCCTCCCAAACTCCTCTTCCTTTTTCTTCTTCCAGCAGCATGTTTGATTTGCTGAGGATGATTTGATTAGTAATGGTATTACATTTATTTATATCTCCCTTTCTCCTAAAATTGAGATTCAAGGTGAGTGGAGCTGTTGCAACAAGTGACTATGATTGTGTGAGTTAAGACCTGTCAAATATTTTTTGCTTGAGGACCAGTATGTGATAGATTTTTGTCAACTCCAAACAGCTCCTTTGGGTGGCTCCTTGCAGATATAATAGCGGCAGCAAATAATTGCCTACATTGCCAGAAAGTAGTTTTTGAAATAGGCTCTTGGCTTGTGGTTCGTGCGATCCACTCTCATTTTTCTGCCATCACTGTAGTCTCCATCTTGTTTCATCCCCATCGGATGCCTGGAAATTTATGTCTCTACTCTAGGCCTGGGTAACAACGGAAAAATTTGTTTCTAAAATCGATTTGTATTTTTGGGGGTTTTTTTGCGTTTCGTTATTTAAAATAATTACAAAATTTTCCTTTAAAAAAGTTCGATATTTACGAAATTTCGTAAATGTGAAAATTACAAAACATTAACGAATCGATTTCCGAAACAATAACGAATCGATTCGTTAATGGCGGACGCGACCGCGAAATACGCTAAAAAACCTCCAAAAACTTCTGAAGCTTCCCTCTCCCTCTGTTGTTGCCTGTTGGTGTGATATTATAATTTTTTTCACTAATTAAACCATAAAACTGGCCCAGACATGCGGAAATAATAACGAAACGACCTCAAAACAATAACGAAACGAATACAATAACGAAATACGAAGCATTTACAAAACGTGTTTAAAAATTCGTTTTTTAAAAAAAATTGCTCCAGAATGGTTCGTTATCGTTTTGTAATTGGAAAAATTAACGAATTATTAACGAATTACGAATTAACGAAACGAAACCGGCCAGCCCTACTCTACTCCATAAGAAAGGATGCTCATGAATTATTGCCCTGGGCACTTTAGCCTTGTCAAGGTCACCTGCTGAGGCAAAATATAATAATAATAATAATAATAATAATAATAATAATAATAATAATAATCTTATTATTATTATTACTATTATTATTATGCTTTTGTGTCAGAAGAGGGGGGGGAGGAGGAGGCTGGGAAAAGTTACAGAAAATGAACACGTCAAATTCCTCTGGGACTTCCGAATTCAGACAGACAGAGTTTTGGAGGACAATACTCCTGAACTCATGATCGTATTAATAAAAAAAGTATGGATTGTTGATGTTGCAATCCCAGGTGACAGCAGGATTGAAGAGAAACAACTAGAAAAGCTGACAGGATATGAGGATTTAAAGATTGAACTGCAAAGACTCTGGCACAAGCCAGTCAATGTAGTCCCAGTGGTGATCGGCACACTGGGTGCAGTGCCTAAAGACCTTGGCCTGCACATAAACACAATCGGCGCTGACAAAATTACCAACCTTACTGGGATCTGCACGTATTATTCACCGATACATCACACAGTCCTAGACACTTGGGAAGTGATCCAATACAATAGCCAGCAGAGTGACCTTGTCTGCTGTGGACTCATCTTGTTGTGTTTCAAATAATAATAATAATAATAATCTGCAACAGCTGTCAGAAATCCCTCCAGATCCATCCTCCTCTTTAATCTGTCTTCCACTTTTCCAAAGATAGATAAACAAATTAAATATTAATGAAGAATATGTATCTGTGTGTATTTCTTTTAAAATATGCACACAATTTTGGGAAAAGATTTTGTTTTACAGGAAATGGATGATGACACATGGGTGGTAGAGGATTCGACTCCAATGGGCCAGAGATTAAAAGAGGCCATGAGTCACCAGCATCTAGTTATATCCTTTCATCCTTGGCCTGGCCATTTGTATGCCCCATATATTGCTGGATCTTAATTTCCATCATGCCTCACCACTTTCTATGTGGAGTGAGGTTGTTGGCCATTAGTATCTAGCAACATTTTTCAAACCACAAATTTCTTATCCCTGCCTTACTTCCCTTTTTTTGCAACACAGTTCCTGCTTGGCAACATATTTGAAATTCTCCTAAACTTGAGGCTGTATAGACTGTAAATGCCAATACTGCCTCTTCTCTCACGCCCACTATTGTAAAATGGGTATAATATCTGCTGTTTCAAAGCATGCAATGTGAAGTTATTCCTAGTTTTTTCCCCATTCTAACTGATTTCACTCACTCATAATTAATTGGAATTGGTTGGGGAAATGTGCAGATGCCTTGCTGTCCTGTCTTTTGGTGCTAGATCTGATGTAAGAAATATTGAGGAGAAGGAGAAAAACAGAAGTAAAGGTGCTACTTTTAGGGGCTGACAATGCAGTCTCTGCTATGTCTCATTCTGGTCCAAACTTCCACATTTGTTTGCCATGTGGCTGTTGACATTGGGATAAAGGTGACAGTTTCAACATGGCTGTGCAGACTAGGCTAATTGAACCTACAGTTCTTTAGAAAAGGACTGCTATTCATTGTACGAACACTTGTTTTGTATGTAGACTGTCTACACCAGGCATAGGCAACCTTTGGCCCTCCAGGTGCTTTGGACTTCAACTTTCACAATTCCTAACATCCAGAGGGCCCAAGTTTGCCCATGGCTGGTCTACTCCATGTGTGGGGTAAATATTCTACCCTTAAGACACTTCTAGCAGTTGGTCACATAGATTGTAAAAAATACCCCCTTCCCAAGTTCACTAATTGTTTTGAACAAAAATATTCAACATTGCCTGGGGAGTTGCAAGCTGTAGTGATGTCAAACTGGATTGATTCTATAGTGTAGATCCACCCTTAGTCTAAGGTAGCTTCCTGTTTTCATAGTTCTTTATGAAAGAAATAGAAGACAGTTTTAAAAATTCATTGGTATATGTGCACATTTCCTCTTTTGTTCATGTACAACAATGGTTACTGTATGCTACTCAGATGGATTTAACTCACTCCAGAAATAATAGATGCCCTGGGTTGTTGTAGGTTTTTTTCGGGCTATATGGCCATGGTCTAGAGGCATTCTCTCCTTGGGTCTGCATCTATGGCAAGCATCCTCAGAGGTAGTGAGGTCTGTTGGAACTAGGGAAAAGGGTTTATATATCTGTGGAATGACCAGGGTGGGACACAGGACTCCTGTCTGCTGGAGCTAGGTGTGACAAGGGGGACAGAGAGTTTCATCTGTGCTGATGATCGTGCCATTACTGCTCAAGCAGGGAGCTTTGAGACTGTAGAACAGAAGCTCTCCGGAGCTCTAGGTGCTCTTACTGCCTACTACATGGAAAACCAGCTGATCCCTAACCCATCTAAAACACAGACATGTGCCTTTCATCTCAAGAACAGAGAAGCATCCCGAGCTCTGAAGATCACCTGGGAAGGAATCCCACTGGAGCATTGCAGCACACCCAAATAACTGGGAGTCACTCTGGACCGTGCTCTACCTACAAGAAGCACTGCCTGAACATCAAGCAAAAAGTGGGTGCTAGAAACAATATCATACGAAAGCTGACTGGCACAACCTGGGGATCACAACCAGACACAGTGAAGACATCTGCCCTTGCGCTGTGCTACTCTGCTGCTGAGTATGCATGCCCAGTGTGGAACACATCTCACCACACTAAAACAGTGGATGTGGCTCTTAATGAGACATGCCGCATTATCACGGGGTGTCTGCGCCCTACACCACTGGAGGAATTACACTGCTTAGCCGGTATTGCACCACCTGACATCCGCCGGGAAGTAGCAGCCAATAGTGAAAGGACCAAGGCAGAGACATCTCCAGCTCATCCCCTGTTTGGGTATCAGCCAGCACGCCAACGACTTAAATCTAGACATAGTTTCTAAGATCTACAGAGACACTCGCTGGAACACCTCAGCAAGCGAGAGTCCAAAAGTGGCAGGCTCAAACCCAGCACCTCAACCAATGGCTGATACCAAATGAGAGACTCCCCTCCTGGGCACACAGAAGACTGGGCGACTTGGAAGGCGCTGAACAGACTGCGCTCTGGCACCACGAGATGCAGAGCCAACCTTCAGAAATGGGGCTACAAAGTGGAATCCTCGACATGCGAGTGTGGAAAAGAGCAAACCACTGACCACCTGCTGCAATGCAACCTGAGCCCTGCCACACGCATTACAAAGAATGCTTTACAATGGAGGACATTCTTGCAGCAACACCGGAAGCACTCCAAGTGGCCAGATACTGGTCAAAGGACATTTAACCAGCTACCAAACTCACAAGTTGTGTATTTTTCTGTTTGTTTGCTTTGTTCTGTTAGAAATGTAATATAATGGACTGGCTGCTCTGACACGACAAATAAATGTGACAAGAGTCCTTTGTCCCACCCTGGTCATTCCACAGATATATAAACCCTTTTTCCTAGCTCCAACAGACCTCACTACCTCTGAGGATGCTTGCCATAGATGCAGGTGAAACGGCAGGAGAGAATGCCTCTAGAATATGGCCATATAACCCAAAAAAACCTACAACCCAGTGATTTCGGCCATGAAAGCCTTCGATAATACAATAGATGCCCTAATTAAAAGCCCTTGAAATGCTTATGTACCACTATGAAGTAGTCAAATTTACAATCTTTCTGTAGCCATAGGCACTGTACTTGACTGTAAAATTGCCGAATGGCATTTTGTAATTCTTTAGAAGGTTTGCTCCTTGTTGCAACACGCCCTACCAAACCCTGGTGAGAGGTCAAGAAACTGGAATCAATACAACCTGTTATGCAAGTCAGACTAGCAAATGCCTTTTTCTTTTGCTCTGAGTCCCACATGTCTTTATGAGATCTGATAAAAGCAGATAATTGAACTAATGCATGCAACTCATACCTTTGCTTCCCACAGGCCCTGGAGGAAGTCAATGCCCGACTTCGTGAGCTGTATCCAGATGACGAAGAGCTGTTTGATATTGTGCTCATGACTAATAACCATGCTCAAGTTGGGGTGAGACTGATCAACAGTATTAACCATTATGGTGAGTTGGAGTTGCATGTTTCTCTTGCATTTTACTTTGCTACAACTGCTGCTATATCTTTCTATCTTTTGGGCAAAGTATGACGTGTTGGATATAACCTTTTATAGCCCTACATGGTATGTGTCCAGGTTGTGCTTTCTGTTATTAAGAATATTATTATTCTCCCATGTAAAACGGTGTATGCTCCACGCTTCCTTTAGTGTGAAAAACAATGGAAGGAAATAATCTGATTGCATCAGTCTTGCATGGTGTAGTGGAAGAACTTAGTTCGACTGGAATGGTGATACAGCTGTTAATATTGTTTTTATTGTTTTAATTAATGTTCTATTTATTGTTTTAATTGTTGTTATATTGCTTTGTTATGTGTAGTGGCATCGAATTTTTGCCAAATGGAAGCTGCCCTGAGTCTCCCTGAGAAGGAACGTGGTAGAAATGCTGGAAATAAATAAATAAAATAAATAGGTTAGCCTTTAATTCAGGAATTCGGCTTCAGAAATCTCTCACCATTAGCTTTGTTGGTGATTGTTAATGGGAGTTGTAGTCCAACAAGAAGCGGAGAGCCAGACACATTGCCTTGCTTCATATATTTTTGTGGATTGTAATATATCCATGTCTTTACAGTCAAAGTTTTCACTGCTGTACTTGAAACATTATCCGCTTGCAGCTATATAGTGCTGAGAGAAGCAAAGTAGCTGAAGCCTGTAGGGTTTCACCAGTTGATGTTTATGATTCATCTGGTGTTATGACTGAATGACAAAGTGCACTTCGCCTCATTCCTCACCTTTTGCCTTCCTTTTGTTATAATTTGGCTTTTGATTTTGGCCACAGTGCTCTCTTTCTTAGCCCTAACATTGCTCATGCTCCTTGTCTTGAAAAATGACTGGATTGGGTACTTTTAAGAAATTGCATAAAATGGAGACTAGAAAAGAATGCTTTACAAAGTCACAGATGGTGAGAGAAAGGACAAGAAAGAATTGAGATCCATCAGTCTAAATGCTATGCTTTGAAGGGCTGCAGAACAGATTACTCAGCCATGGGGCACCTGACCTCTCCAGATGACCTCAAACACCACAAAGGTCCATTAAGCAGAAGGTGGTTTCTCAGTGTGATATTGTCAATTATGGTCTTGTCATTAGTCTAAGTCAGTGGGGTTTTTTGATGGATTTATACAGCATAACCAGGAGGGTAGCATCATATCACATCTTGTTGTCAAAATGTCAGCATCAATAGAACAGCTGCATCCGTTAGAACAGTGGTTCTCAACCCGTGGGTCCCCAGATGTTTTGGCCTACTACTCGCAGAAATCACAGCCAGTTTACCAACAGTTAGGATTTCGGCGAGTTGAAGGCCAAAACATCTGGGGATCCACAGGTTGAGAAGTTTAGAAGAAGGCAAAAAGACCACTGTGATCCTGTGGGCACCAAAGCATACCTACCCTTACTCTATGCTTTCTGAATTGGAATACAACTACCATATTAACTACTTCAATAAGTTCTTGTCTGTGCATTAATTAAATCTAGCAATTTTTGGATTGATGTAGGTTTTTTCAGGCTATATGGCCATGTTCTAGAGACCTCACTACCTCTGAGGATGCTTGCCATAGATGCAAGCGAAATGTCAGGAGAGAATGCCTCTAGAACATGGCCATATAGCCCGAAAAAATCTACAACAACCCAGTGATTTCGGCCATGAAAGCCTTCGACAATACTAGTAATTTTTCTTTTTCAATGCCAGGTCTGTTAATTGAACGGTTTTGTATGACTGGAGGAAAGAGTCCTGTTGGGTACTTGAAGGCATACCTTACCAATTTGTACCTGTCTGCTGACTCTGAAAAGGTTCAAGAAGCCATTGAAGCAGGTTTGAATTTAGTCTTTTTCTTTATTTCTTGAACAACAGAGTGCAAACCAAAACATTAATGAATTGTGTATATCTTCTATAAAATGTTGTAGCTGAAGCATATTTGGATTGTGAACCTCATATGAGTTAGGGCTCTTCCACGCTGCCATATAGCCCAGAATATCAAGGTAGAAAATGCCACAATATCTGCTTTGAACTGGGTTATCTGAGTACACACTACCATATATTACAGTTCAAAGCAGAAAATGTGGGATTTTATTCAGCTGTGTGGAACGAGCCTTTGATTCATTACTGAATTGTATCAATAAAACGTAACTTTTTGTAATCGCTTGGGGTTTTTTTTTGCACTTTCAATGATTTAACATATAGTTAGGTAGAAAACTATTTACGTAGACTTAGATCAGCATGTCTGTTATTTAAAAAAACACTGATGACTAATCCTGTAAGATTAAAATACAAAATTAATAATTTCTGTATTGGTTTTTGCAGGAATTGCTTCAGCGACATTGTTCACAGGAAATAAAAAGGTTCCTTTTGATGATAAGCAGCTCCGAGTGGCCTTTGATGGAGATGCTGTTCTGTTTTCAGATGAGTCTGAAATAATTGTGAAAGAACATGGCCTGGATAGATTTTTTGAGCATGAACAGTTGAACGAGAATAAACCTCTTGCACAGGTATGATGGCCAGCATCTTGGTGCCATATAACCCAGAATATCAAGGTAGATAAGGCAGATAACCCAGTGTGAACTGGGTTATCTGAGTCCACACTGCCATATAATCCAGTTCAATGTGGATTTTATACAGCTGTGTGGAAGGGGCCTTAGTTCTTATAATGAAAGTTGTCATGCTGAGTGGCACTGTAATTTTGCTTGATTATTAAGTGCTTTCTGTTTTTAAACATCCAATGACTTCTCCTGAAGGACAATAATTGCCATAAATTTGTTTTAAACATCAAATAATGTCTCTTGGTGGATAGTAACTGTACTTAGACCATCATTTTCAGTCTTCAAAGGAGAGCTTTTAGATTTTATTAATGCTTTTTATAAATGTACTTGTCTTATGTTTTGAACCTCATTTTATTTACCACAAACTCTGTACATCAGGAGTTGGTAAAATACTGTTTCCTTAAATATGTAATTTACCCCTCCATTCTGGCCTTTTCCTGTTCCCCCATCAAAAATGTTGAATTACATCTCATAGATGGCTGGATAGAAGCCTACAGTAGCTGCTGTTGCAGAGGTATCATGCATTATATAACACATAAAAATGCCTCCCCGCCCCCCCAAAGGTTTGCATCCACTTAATTTTGCCTTCTTTTTCAACGTGGAAAGTCACAGGAAAATAATTTGGGTTTCAAGATGACTACATTTGCCTCATTCCTGCTGTAGGTGAATCTAGAGGTGGTCGAGAGTTCAGAAAGAGGACCTCTGTTTTCTCTTCCTTTTACTGAAGTAGGGAGTTCTATGTAAGGATTCTTTTATTTGCATAGATTTACCCCTCTCCATTGAGATTAACCATCTGATCCTTGCTTGTCAGGGATATCCATGTGTCCCTTCAGGAATAGTCATGTTGGCCATAGAGAGTGAGACAAACAAAATCCAAAATACCTCTCATAGTGATACCTTTATTGGACCAACCAAAAGGTGAAAAATACAGCATACTAGCTTTTTAAGCTTCTTCATTAGGTAAAGAGGTCAAAAAAAGCAGGAAAGGGATGCAAAGTGATTATGTGAGAGTCACAAGTCTGTATCATGAGATGTTTACATTTAGTGGTATTGTGTTCATTGAACTCTCAGCAATGCAGTGAATCAGGTGTTAGACTAATGAAGATGCTTTGCCTGTTCCTTTGAACATCAAAGGATGGATCCTGTGCTTTTTAATTGTGTATTTTATCCATTATGCATTTGTGCAAGTGTGAAACTCACTTCAAAGCACCTAGATAGGTAATGAGAGAGTAAGGAAATTAATATGTAGGAAGCTGGGGAACACTTTCAGTATCCCTCATGCTGAGCTGCACAAACCAAAGTTGTGACCTGACCTAAGACTATTTATGCAACTTTTTCTCCAGTTATGTTTCCCATACTCTTCTGCTAAGACTTTTTTTTTTGTGCTTGTAGTTTGTTTCTGACTCATGAATCTCCTTTTCCCAAAAATAATGTGTTTCAATACTTTTCTCCATAGGGCCCTCTGAAAGGCTTCTTGGAGGATCTTGGAAGGCTCCAAAAGAAGTTCTATGTGAAGAACGAGCGGCTGGATTCACCAATCAGGACGTATCTGGTGACGGCCCGGAGTGCTGCCAGTTCGGGCGCCCGAGTGCTGAAGACTCTCCGCAGCTGGGGAGTGCAGATCGATGAGGCCCTCTTCCTCGCAGGAGCACCCAAAGGACCGGTCTTGGCCAAAATCAGACCTCACATTTTCTTTGATGACCAGATGTTTCACATAGAGGGTGCGAGGCAGCTGGGCACGGTTGCAGCTCACGTGCCTTATGGCATCGGGCAGAAGTACCACAAATCCAAATTGAAGGACAGCCCCGCCACCAATTAGTTCCTTCTCTTTTTGCATTGAATGTGTTCAAAAAAGAAATTTCCATACGTGGACTTCTTTTAAATATATATTATTTAAACATGGCTCCTTCAGGTTTGTACTCTATTTTTAGATATTTTATACTATAGACACATTTTTGGAGTGGGGTTTTGTAATGTTACTGAATAATTGGATACAATCTGCATTCCCCTGTGCATACCCAGTAGAACTTTAGTACCAAATCAATAAAGTACAAGCCAGGATAAAAATCAATAATGTTTCCATTAATTAGGCTGGTGTATGGATTGCACTCCTTTCATGCTTTTAATGCTGGATATATTCTCAGTGCATTATTTAGAACTCAATCACTGTGCATTTCCCCTCCCTGAAATACCGTACATTGTCATGTATAAGTAGACTTTATGCCCTGCCTCATGTACAGAGGAAGAATTGTTTAAAGCTGCAGACAATGCAGTTGTTGTTGCCTGGTTTTGGTCAAAAATTATTTAGCCACTTTTGCTCCTATTTTTATCACGTTACACTTTTGTATGCAATGCTTTTGACATGAAATAAATAAAAAGTAGACTATGGATATGTTGAGAGTGGATTTGAGTGCCAAAATTATGGATTTTGATATGACCTCTGGACATTTAGAGAGTCATTCCACAAAGAGTAGAAAACACCAGAATTGCTTTGGGACCTGCCAAACCTCTCTGCTGCTGTCATCCTCCTCCTCCAAGCATTTAAAAATTATTTTGCCACTCTATTCAGAATTGGAGAGTTCCTTTTGATAAAAGGTAAGATACAATATTAGCTATTATAAAAAAGTAATCATCATCTTCTCAAAATGGCTAGAAATGAGAACTTAGTTAATCCTGGAAGAGCCTAAAAGAAGCCCCAACCCACTCTCATTTTTCCTACACGCCTTTGAAAGGAAGCGTTAAAGAGTTGCCATTGCTGTTCTGATTTTCCTGCCCAGGCATCCAAAAATCCCAGAAGCTGAACTACATTAGGAATGCCAGGAGACCATTTTCGAGCATGGAATCCACCATAACTACAGCTTAAGTGAAGAGCTAAACATTTTAATCAGAAATAGAGTGTAGGTCACAATGTACTACCACCTAGTACATGGAAATGCTCCCTATACTTCCCTTCTGCACATTCCCATGAGGAAGAAATCTGAAAGATTTTGGTGGTGGTCTGTGAAGCAAACAATTCACTTCTTTCCAAGGGCCACTTTCATCTCTTCGTAACCCAGCTCTTCTGCCCCTTCCTGCCATCTTCTCAAAGAAAACACAGATTAGCCTGCCGAACAAAAGAACAATTTACTGAAGTATTTATTTTTCCTGAGGCAGCAGAAATTTCCTGTTTTCTGTAACATGACAAAGAGAAAGGCATCCATCCTATTATTGGATTGCTGTGAGTTTTCTGGGCTGTATGGCCATGTTCCAGAAGCATTCTCTCCTGATGTTTCGCCCACATCTATGGCAGCCATCCTCAGAGGTTGTGAGGTCTGCTGAAATCTAGGGCTCTTCCACACAGCCCTATATCCCAGAATATCAAGGGAGAAAATACCAGAGGACGCCCGGATAATTTTATGTTTTTTATCATCCTTGTGGGAGGTTTTCTCATGTCCCCGCATGGGGAGCTGGAGCTGATAGAAGGAGCTCATCCGCCTCTCCCCGGATTCGAACCTGCGACCTGTCGAACTTCAGTCCTGCCGGCACAGGGGTTTAACCCACACTCGGGTAATGTGAGATTTCCTGTCTTGATATTCTGGGATATAGGGTTGTGTGGAAGGGACCTGTATTATCTGAGTCCACACCACTATATATTCCAGTTCAAAGCAGATAATGTGGGATTTTATTCAGACATGTGGAAAGGGCCTATGTCCTAAGCCGCCAAGGTGAGATGGGACTGGATATAAAGTTGCGAAGCCGCGTCCCCACCGCTCGTTACTACAATTCGAAGCCGTTCACTTGCTGCCACCAAAATATGTGAAGTAGTCTCCAAAAATAAAATAATGGCGTGAAATCCCAACTAAATAGGATCACCACACAAATGTAATGAGAATTTGAGACTTCTAGGTTAAGCTGCCACCCTAATATAAAGAGATATTGGTAATATAATCTCTGTTTCTTCTTATCTGGGTTGTGAGGCCACTTTGGTAGTGTGGATTGTGCAAAACGTTGAAATCAATGGATGAGGCAGGTTTTAAAACACAAAGAGAACAGATTTATTGTCGGAGCGTAACTGTTGCAATATTAACTGTTGAACTTGGCACAAGCTTGATGGTTACAAATATGGCTTAGTTGAGATACATTCAGGTGATGTTACAATTCTTTGACTTCTTCTACAATGAGGTGCTTTAATATTTCAGTTCCCTATTGTGAATATTTACAACTGTTTGTTCTACACAGGATCAAACTAGCGATCTCCAGCCATTCACCACTGGGATCCCTAAACCTCTTTCTTGTTAGATTCTTTCTTTACTCAAGCAATCTAACGAGGTTTCACCTCCAGCTTCCTAGCTGGAATAATATTCACAAATCCTAAGAACTGGCTGAATTTACACTACACCACAGAGCCTCAACTGACTCTGCCCCTCAGGGTTTCATTCCCCTGACTGAACTATTATCCCAGAGTCCCCTTTGACTCTGTCCTTCAGGGTCTCATCCGCCTGACTGATTTTAAACTGTCGTTTTCAAACCTTTCCTACTTAAGCTCCGCCCACCTTCTCTGGCCTGTCACCATGGCAACCTATCTCTCTCAGCTAGGTCATGGCTACAATGTAAAGCATAAACACAGTTTAAAACACAGTTATAATAATCACTTCTCTACAAAGTATGATTGACTTAGAAGTTAAATGTTTGTAACTCGGGGACTGCATGTATCCCGAATCGTATGACTTCAGCATTTATCCATTTTAAATCCAGTTCCTGCCTCCTGCAGAATTCTGGGCTTTGTCGTTAAGTGAAGCCAAGGACCTGCAATTTATTTATTTATCGTGTCAGGGGCAGAGTCAGAGAGTTGCATTGCATTTTTTAACAAACAACAAACAAAACACAAAGTTTGCAAGCTAGGTAGTTGATTAAATGTCCTTTGACCAATAGCTGGATACTTGGAGTGCCTCTGGTGTTACTATAAGAAGGTCCTCCATTGTGCATGTGGCAGGGCTCAGGTTGCATTGCAGCAGGTGGTCTGTAGTTTGGGTTGTTGTAAGATTTTTTTGGGCTATATGGCCATGTTCTAGAGGCATTCTCTCCTGACGTTTCACCTGCATCTATGGCAAGCATCCTCAGAGGTAGTGGGGTCTGTTGGAACTAGGAAAAAGGGTTTATATATCTGTGGAAGACCAGGGTGGGACAAAGGACTCTTGTCTGCTGGAGCTAGGTGTGAATGTTTCAACTGACCACCTTGATTAGCATACAATGGCCTGACTGTGCCTGGAGCAAACTTTTGTTGAGAGGTGATTAGATGTCCTTGTTTGTTTCCTCTCTGTTGTTGTGCTGTTGCAATTTTAGAGTTTTTTAATACTGGTAGCCAGATTTTGTTCATTTTCATGGTTTCCTCCTTTCTGTTGAAATTGTCCACATGCTTGTGGATTTCAATGGCTTCTCTGTGTAGTCTGACATGATGGTTGTGAGAGTGGTCTGTAGTTAGCTCTTCTCTGCAATGAAGGCCTTGGGTTGTTGTAGGTTTTTCCGGGCTATATGGCCATGTTCTGGAGGCAATTTTTCTCCTGACGTTTCGCCTGCATCTATGGCAAGCATCCTCAGAGGTAGTGAGGTCTGTTGGAAGTAGGAAAAATGGGTTTATATATCTGTGGAAAGACCAGGGTAGGAAAAAGAAAGCTGTGAATGTTTCAGCTGATCACCTTGATTTGCATTCAATAGCCTCGAAGCGCCTGAAGCCCTTGCTTAGTAGTAGGCCCTTACTCTCCACCTGCACCACAGGCCTGTTTGTGTTCGACTATACTACAACCCCCACAATTCCCAGTGCCCGTCTCCAGGCCAACCGGCAGGAAAGCCCTGCGGGGCGACTTCCGGCGCGGGGGGGGAGTTGTCCCTGTGGGTGCGCGTGCGCTGGGCCCGGCCCCGCCCCCTCCCGGCCTGGCCTCGCGATGGCCGCCGCGGCGGTGGTGCTGGCGGCAGCTCTGGGCGGAGGGCTGTTGCTCATCGCCCGGCGCTTCTGGCAGGTGGCGGCGGGGGCCGGGGCCGGGAAGGTGAGGCGGGGCATGGAGGGCAAGACGGTGATCATCACGGGCGCCAACAGCGGCATCGGGCGGGCCACGGCGGCCGAGCTGCTACGGCAACACGCGAGGGTCATCATGGCCTGCCGGGACCCGCCGCGCGCCGAGGAGGCCGCCCGGGAGCTGCGCGCGGAGCTGGGCGTGTGCGCGCGGGGCGGGGGAGAGTGCCGCGGGGAGCTGCTCGTCCGCGAGCTGGACCTGGCCTCCCTCCGCTCCGTCCGCAGCTTCTGCCACCAAGTGCTACAGGTAACGAGGAGGAGAGGGGGGCGCCTGTGCCTTTAAGGGCAGGGCAAGGCGGGAGGAGGCGCGCCAGCAGGGGTTGCTGGGCACGTGACCAGGCAACAGAGCTGCACCTGCTACAAACACCCCCCTCCCACCGCCGCTTTTTCCTTTCCTTTCTACACAAACCTTAAAGGTACAGGAGCCCCTTCCTGCTCGTGACAACCTGTTGCCATCTGCACATGGCACCATCCCACTATTAGCAGGACATAATAATAATAATAATAATAATAATACCAGTAATGACAATTATTAGTATTCATCATGTTAAAATAATCATAATAATATATATACAGTTTTATTAATAATTATTATATTTCTTATTAATAATTGTGTTTAAATAATTATTTTAATTAATTATTAATACATATAATAATTATTAATAATTATATTTTTATAACAATAATTAATCTTGTTAAAAAACAAAGTATGGATCGTTGTTGCAATCCCAGCCGACAGCAGGATTGAAGAGAACCAACTGGAAAAGCTGACACGATATGAGGATTTAAAGATCGAACCACAACGACTCTGCCACAAGCCAGTCAAGGTGGTCCCAGTGGTGATTGGCACACTGGGTGCAATGCCTAAAGACCTTGGCCTGCACTTAAACACAATTGGCGCTGACAAAATTACCATCTGTCAGCTGCAGAAGGCCACCCTTCTGGGATCTGCATGCATTATTCGCTGATACATCACACAGTCCTAGACACTTGGGAAGTGTCCGACGTGTGATCCAATACAACAGCCAGCAGAGTGATCTTGTCTGCTTTGGACTCATCTTGTTGTGTTTCAATAATAATAATAATAATAATAATAATAATAATATAAACCAGTACAGGGGGTCCCAGTGGTCATTGGCACACTGGGTGCCGTGCCAAAAGATTTGGAAACAATAAACATCGACAAAATCACGATCTGTCAGCTGCAAAAGGCCACCTTACTTGGATCTGTGCACATCATTCGAAAATACATCACACAGTCCTAGACACTTGGGAAGTGTTTGACTTGTGATTTTGCGATACAAAACCCAGCATATAGATCTCATTTTCTGTGACATACTGTGTTTTTGTGTCAGTAAAATAATAATAATTAACCCACCCTCTCTTTGCTAAGGGACTCTGGGTGGCTTCCAAAAAACCAAAATAGCAAGCATTCAGTGCAGTGACAAGATAAAACATCGGCAGCCGATTTGAACCTGCAACCTGTTGGTCTTCAGTCCTGCTGGCACAAGGGTTTAGCCCATTGTGCCACCGGGGGCACATAAAATACAACAAATCACACAAAGCATACTAATGCCAGAAATAAGATATAAATAAATATCAGGCATTAAAAATATTTAAAACTAATTGCAATTATTGTGGAGACTCATCAATTAAATAGAATATTCACTAAGCTCAGTGCAAATCGACCTTGTTGTCATTAGCAATTGGATTCATTTGTCAAAAGCTTGCTTGAACAGGAAGGTCTTCAACTGATTCTTGAAAGATAACAGGCAAGGGTAGTTTTAATCTCAATGGGGAGGGAGTTCCAAAGGGTCTGCTACTGAGAAGGCCCTCTATCTTGTTGCCACCAAGCGTATTTGTGTTGGCCGCAGCAATGAGAGAAGGGTGTCTCCGGAAGATCTTAATGATTGGGAAGATTGGTAAGAGGTGAAGCAGTCTAGGCACCCAAATTAGATCAAAACTAAAGAGCATTGCCCATCATGTGAAAAATTACGCTATGTCACATTTTTTCCCTGGTTTGAAAGTGTTGTTTCCTGTTTAATTGTGCAATCCTTACTTTGAAAGTTGTTGTTATACTCCATAAACTTTGTTTTTGTGGCTGCCACAAACAACGTTGAATCAGTTGAGACTCGATGAGATATTTATTGACAGACAATAGCAAACAACATATAAAAACCAAAAACATAACATACAATGAAAGTAGACAGTGCCATCATAAACATAGTCATAGCAAATAAAATATTATAAAACCAACATCAGAGTAATTAGCGACTATAAAAAAGCACAATTAAACATTAAAAACTCCATCTGGTGTCAATTCATTTAGGCCATAGTCAGGTCCATTGTCGAAGGCCCATTACAGTTCAAACATTGCACACATAGATCTGGCATTTTCAGTACTATTGTTCTCCTTTAGAGAAGGTTTCCACGTTTTTACTTAATTTCTAAACGGTAGTGGGGAAGGAGCTATTCTGACTTATTTAGGAAGGGATTTCCAGAACTGCAGGACAATCACCAAAAAGGCCCTCTTTCTTGTTCCCACCAATTGTACATAGGACGATGGTGGGACTGAGAGTAGGACCTCTCCTGTTGATATCAGGACTTGTGTAGATTCATAGGAGAAGATGAGGTCAGTTAAGTAGGCTGGGCCCGAACTGTTAATCAAGCTTGCCCATGTTTTTATGATATTTATTTATCGTGTCATCAGCAACCATACCATTGTATTACAATTCTAACAGAGCAAAACAAACACACAGATTAAAAAGAAAAAGAGCAATTTCTTTTCTTTTCTTTTCTTTTAATGTTCTTATGATAGAACCAATTAGGAAATGGCATTGATAACCCAGGAACAAATGTCATGTTACATAGTGTTATTGGAGAAATGGCAGAGGCAGGTCGACACAGTTGACTTAGGATCTCATCACATGAAAGCAGTGGTTTTCAACCTGTGGGTCCCCAAATGTTTGGGCCTTCAACTCCCAGAAATCCTAATAGCAGGTAAACTGGTTGGGATTTCTAGGAGTTGTAGGCCAAAACACCTGGGAACCCACAGGTTGAGAACCACTGCACTAGAGCATGGATCCACTTTAAACCAATTTCTGCCTGGGATATAGTTTGCCTGTAGTTTACGGAGGGGCCTTTAAACTGCTCAGCCAGGCAGGTCCTGGTCCTCCTTAAACTACAAATACCAGAATTCAGCAGGAGGCAGAAACTGAATTTCAAGTGTACCCATGCTCTAATACAGTGGTTCCCAACCTTTGGTCCTCTAGCTGTTTTGGACTTCAACTCCCAGAAATCCCAGCCAGCTTACCAGCTGTTAAGAATGGTGGGAGCTGAAGTCCAAAAGACCTGAAGGACCAAAGGTTGGGAACCACTGCTCTAGTGTGATGAGGCTATTAATGCAGTTTGACACCACTTCAACTGCCCCAGCTCAGTGCTATCCAATCTTGGGTGTTGTAATTTTACAAGGCACTTAACCTTCTTTGTCAGAGATTGCAGGTGCCTCGCCAAACTACAAATACACCAGTTCCCAACCATCGAGTCGCGGAAGTTAAACTGCATTCATTCTACACTGCATACTGTCATCCTGGACTTTTACCCTGAGATCCCTTTGGAAATCGCGTTCGAAAGAGTGTTTCAGAGACCCATGCTTCCCAGTTTTCAATTCTCGGTCTATACATCCTGGCAATATCTCATGTTCTGAAAGTGTCGTTCTTTCACGCCTCTGTCCACCCACAGCCTCAAATGAATGTGTTTCCCTTTTGCAACATCAGTATTAACAGCGAGGTGTGATCTTTGCTTCTTTTAAATGAGAAAGATAGTGTGGGTGTGTAATGCAGACCAACCAGTGAGCCTGCCTCAAAATAATATACCTGTGTGCTGCAGAACATGCCCTTGAGGGAGGCACTACCTTGCTACTGTAAATGAGAGCAATTTAAAACTTGATCCTGTTGTTTCAAAAAGCAAGAGGCTAAGAATAAAGGAGCCATCGTTCTGGTTCCACTGGCCTCTTGTGTATCTCATAGAAACTTGGGTGAAGTACAAGCTGTACTTATCTTCTAAGGAGAGGGAGCAGATGGTTAACAACAACAGAGTCCCCATGGCATCCTAAAGACTAATGAGGTTTCTTTGGTACATGCTGTTGTGGACTTCAAACAGTTCAATCCAGAAAGGTTTATATTAAATGAAATGCTATTGTGGTTAGGATGCCACAAAATTATGTTGCCTTTATTGCACCAACCTAACATTTTTATCTGCTGAGCTGAGGAAAAGACATTAATTTTACATTAGAATTATTATTGGGAAGTGAAAGAAGCGCATGTGTTAACATGGAGAAGATATGATGACATTTTGATATATATTTTATTTAGAGAGGAGGGAAGAGATGCTGCAGTATCTTTCAGAGACGAGCCCTTGACCTTCCCGCATTGCATCTTGCCAAAGAACTGTTTGCATTGTCACCAGTTTGCACTATATGAGATATGTAAATCTTTCAGCTTTGGCACTATGTAAAATGATGCAGCAATTTTTGTAATCCAGGAATAGATTTATAATGAATCAGAATACTGGGGGGAGGGGGGTATCCTGTTGCTTTATTGCATGTGATATATGTGCATACATTTTTATCCCACTCAGCTTTTTAAGATGTAGAAAATGACCTTCCTTCATATTCAAGGACACAAACTTGTGAATTTTGTAATTCAAAAGGCATTTGAACCCAATTCTCCCAGGACGGGACAGCATTCATTAGCCTCTACAATTGTCTTTTTCCCAACCTTCAGCCTACAAGTTGTATTGGATTGCAATTGCCAACATCTCCAAACAGAAGGAGTGCATGGGAGATGCCACATTTGAAGGCCTAGCAGAGGAAGAGCCCCCTAAAGCCACTTCTAACGTACTGATATATCTGAAAACAGGTGGTTTTGTTCTTGAAGGAGCATATATGGGTCCAGTCTTTGTTTGGTGCCTAAGCAAAAAATATTCCCAGACAAATGGACATGTCAACTTTTTTGAGGGGAGTAGTGAGCCAACACTTTCTCTAAATTAGGGAAAGGTCTCTGACGGTTGGTAGAGTGCTGTTTCCATCACTCTTTGCTACTGTGTATGGTAACTAATAGGAATTGCAGTATGGGAATATCCAGAAAGCCACAAGTTGTCCATCTTTGCTCTAGGAGGAATACCTAAAATTGTGTCTCAGAAACCTAGTTAGAAATCAAAAAAATGGGACAGGAAGGAGACAGAAAATAATCTGTGGCCAAATCTTTGGAAGTGGTGTGATTGCTAGAAAGGGTCCGACAATAACAGCTTAAGGCAAGGACATCCAGTCTTTTGGCTTCTTTCTCTAGGCCACATTGAAAGAGGAAGAATGGTCTTGGGCCGCACATCAACATAAAACTGAAGCCACATATGCATACAAAAAGCGAGAGTGTATGGTACACAGTGCTGCTATGTCTAGTACAAAATACATATTTGAATTCTTTTTGACAATTCATTTTACATGACATTGCAACAGTGTCCTCTTGTTCTTTATTTTATTCTAACAGTTTGTTTTTCTTTTGACCAAACTATTCACAAGTACAATTATGGATAATACTTCAGTGTTTGTAGATATAACATACTGTGATTATTCCATTCTGTACTGTTATCAGCTACAAATTTAATTACAAAGGAAATTTCTCACAATGTTTTAAGTAAGTTTACGGTGTTGTCTTGGGCCACATTCATAACTGTCCTGGGCTGCAGATTGGACAAGTCTGACTTCTTCAGCGCTCCACATTAGCTGGAATGGTGGGGAGGGGGGAACCCCTGTAAATGTGGGAAGACTACCAAAGAGGTCCCCTCACTAGGAATCTTGAGGTCCCCGACACCAGTTCTGTAGTCAACTTCCACCAGAGATTGACAATAGAAATGTGATTCATAACATGGAGATTCCTCGAGAGGACACGTTGGTCAAATCTGTGAATAATCAAACCCACAAATCTGGAGTGCTGACGATACTGACTCAATGATTTCTCATTTACAAAAAAAGTGAATGATTTCAATATTGATTGTGTGTATAGCTAATCTACTCCTCTTCTTTACCATTTTCCAGGAAGAGCCTAGGCTGGATGTCCTGATCAACAACGCTGGGATATTCCAGTGTCCCTACACGAAGACGGAGGATGGTTTTGAGCTGCAGTTTGCGGTCAACCACTTGGGGCATTTTTTGCTCACAAACCTGCTCCTTGGACTTCTGAAAAGCTCTGCACCCAGCAGGATTGTAGTGGTTTCTTCCAAGCTTTATAAATATGGAGAGATCAACTTTGACGACCTGAACAGTGAGCTAAGTTACAACAAAAGCTTTGCCTACAGTCGGAGCAAACTGGCTAACATCCTGTTCACCAGGGAGCTGGCCCATCGTTTAGAGGGCACAGGGGTTACGGTCAATGTGCTCCATCCTGGTGTTGTCAGAACAAATCTGGGCAGATATGTGCATATCCCTTTACTCGCTAGGCCCCTCTTTAATTTGGTGTCCTGGGCTTTCTTCAAATCTCCTCTGGAAGGAGCCCAGACTTCTATTTATTTGGCCTCCTCTCCTGAAGTAGAGGGCGTCTCTGGGAAATATTTTGGAGATTGCAAGGAGGAACAACTATTGCCTAAGGCCATGGATGACCTGGTTGCAAGGAAACTGTGGGATATCAGTGAAGTGATGGTGGGGCTATTAAAGTAAAGGGCCAAGAGAAGCACTCTGTGAAAATAGAACAAGAATGCATATTTGACATTTCAGATTCCTCCATTTGTTCTCCCCATCTACTGAGAGGAGGTCCATCTGATTCTGTCTCTAATTAGGATTCAAGCAGGGTTTTTTTCTGTTTTTAAAGATTTTTTCTTAGAAAACAAAGAATCGGTATTTTAAAAAGTTTTTGTATATTTCAAATTCAACAGACACAGAGCAGTTCTACTGAGAACAACACTGCTTTCTGAGATGTGTGCTGAGAGTTCGGCACTTTATATTTGAATTAGCTGTGCATGGTGCTGTATTTAGAATATATGGCAGCTCTGGGTATTTTTTAATTCTGAAAAGAATACCAAACATATAAGAGAGGAACTTCTTGTGACTTGCTTCAGTCTGTCACATATATATTTCTGCTTTGGTGAAGATGGCCAGCCAAAAAGCAGTGCAGAAAATACTGTCATAAAATGTTGACACTTGTTTTATTTGCATCTCTAGGATCAGAATCCAGAACACAACTGAGCATTTCTATACGTTTCAGTGAGATTTAAAGTGTATTTAACAATGGACTGAATATTCAGTGTTTCTTGCCTTGGCAGAAAATGTTTCTATCAGTTATTGCCTCATGGCACACACATGGTTGCATGTGCACGCAGACATACACAAATGCCCAACAAAAGTCCTGTGAAGTTCATCAGACTGTAGGCTAAGTTGGTTAGGCACCTATCTTTATTGTCAAGTTTATATATTAAGAAACAGAGGCATTTTTTTTCCAGACTGAGCTATGAGGTGGCACGCATGCACCTGTTTGACTTGAAACTGTTTATGCTATCCACTGTTGTGTGTAGGTTGCACTGGAACCTGTGGAAATTACTCCCAATGTATGTAGGATTAGGATGCTGATGCCATGGGCCTTCATGTTGAATGTGGTAATATTAATGAAATATGAATACAGGGTGTCACATTAGATAGAAAACCAGAGTCTTGGTACAAATGCACTTAATCACAGAATGTCAGACACATACATAATTGTGCAGAAACTATTGTCCATATTGCACCTAAGGCTTATACTTTAGCACTAGAGTAGTTGCAGAGGAATATGTGCGCTGTAGATTATGGATGTCAGTGCTATGAAATGCTATAGTGCATTTGGGATTCTGAGCATGTTCTGTGAGCATATCTCTAATTCAGGTACGTCCGCTTATGTGGTTTCTAGGTCTTCCCAAGTGACAGAAATCTGTCGGTTGCCAACTGTGTTAATGTGTTTGCTTAATAACACTGATGTGAATGTTATATACATGCAGTTACACATGCACACATACTCTTCAGAATGTATGTAAAGTAGTCCTGAATTACACAAGTTACAGATTCTTTATATAGACCCTCTGCCATGCAGAGTTGTTAATATTTCACTGTGTTCGGTTTTGGCTTTGAAGGCATATGCATGCCTTATTTTTTTGTTCTCCATAAATAAATAAAGCTATATACTAACTAAATAAAATAGATCTCAAATTTAAATGTGGGCGTCATCACTGTGTTCTTATTTAAAGTTGAACCATGGTTAATTTTGAATCTACCACTGCATGTGACAGAAAAATGGCAACTTTTAAAAAAAAATGTGTCCGGCGAGACTTGAGAAACTGCAAGTTGCTTCTGGTGTGAGAAAATTGGCTGTCTGCAAGGATGTTGCCCAGGGGATACCCTGATGTTCCTTGTTTTATCATCCTTGTGGGAGGCTTCTCTCATGTCCCTGCATGGGGAGCTGGAGCTGACAGAGGGAGCTCAACCTGCTCTCTCTGGATTCAAACCTCTGACCTGTTGGTCAGCAGTCCTGCTGGTACAGAGGTTTAACCCATTGCGCAACCTGGGGATCCATAACGATGAGTAGAGACTATGTGGTCCTTCAGCAATTCTTAGATGGCAACTCCAGCAGCAACAAATCATGAAGATACAAGACATACATAACGTAAAAGATGTTTGAGAAGTTCAGATATTTTTATCATCATTTTGCACTATAGCACTCTTCTAAGTGCTCTACATTGCAATACCTGCATCAGATAATTCCAGGAAGGGAACCGCAATGCAGTTGGCCTGGGATCATTACTGCAAAGCAATAAGGTGTGTGTTTTGTTAACTCTTTTTAGAAGCCACTTGTGAGCTGTGAGCTGTTTAAAAAATTGGAAACTTGATTGCAAAAGGACTGGGATGTTTACTTGTGTCCTCTGCTATAGGTGCGAAGTGTGTAGATAGTATTGAACTGCAACACCCAGTAGCCATAGCCAGTGGCAAGGAACGTTGGGAGCTGCAGTCTAGAAACATCTAGAGCAATGGTTCTCAACTTGTGGGTCCCCAGGTGTTTTGGCCTACAACTCCCAGAAATCCCAACCAGTTTACCAACTGTAAGGATGTCTGGGAGTTGAAGGCCAAAACATCTGAGGCCTCACCATTACTACACCATTGCCTCGAAACCACACGGCAACTAGAGTGACTGGTTTCATAAAGCCCTCTTATACTGCTGAGGCACCGGGGATGTTAGGAAGAGAGAGGCTGATTACTACTGCTATATCAGCCCTAGGTAATTAAATATGGTTTTCTGTGGCTGAGCAGATGGCACCTACTGGATGACATATGTTCTGTATCAGAAGCTAGAGCTGATGTGATCTTTCCAATGCAATTTTCTGAATCAGTACTCCAAATAACCAAACACTGATATGTAACCCTTTTGGTACTAATGCTAGAGAGTGGTTCCTGCTCAAAGTGGTCCATGATCAAAAAAAGATTGGGAACCACTGATCTAGAGGGATACACCAATCGTACCCCTACCCTATGGAATTAACAAAAAAATCCATGTGTAAGACTATCTAATGGCATGGGTTTGAGATAGGATGCATGGCCCTTCAGTTGATGGTACTGCATCTCATGCTTCCTCATCATAGACAATGCTGGCTTCGTCAGGCAATCAGTCAGTTTCCCACTTGAACTTCCACTTAAATGGTTCTTTTCCATTCAAGGTACCAGGGAAAAATAGATTCCCAAAGAATTTAAAATAATATTAAATCATACACTTAGCCTGGGCTCGTCTTTCCGTGTAGTCTTTTTTCTTGTCTAATCTTACAAGCATTCCTCACCTAGCCAAACAGTCCAAGAGATCTAGAAATAAAAGTATTATTTTTGAGAGCAGAACTGTTATTTTCTACTGTTGAAACCAACCTCATTCCATCCCTCTCCCTGAAACCACCAGCACCTTTGCTTCTGCTGTGACTGGCCAGAGATCTAAGAAGTTACGTGAACATTGAGTGGATACCAAATACCTTTAAGCAGAACTCAGGAAGGAAATTGGGGGGGAGGGGGGGTTACAGGCTATTTGTCCAAATGTAATTAAAGTAGTTGATTTTTTTAAAAAAACAAAGCTGACCTAGTGTCATGTTCCTGTTTGGAATAATCACTTATGAATATTTGCAGGAACAGCTGGTTATATGTCAGACTATGAACCATTGCCAAAGACCTGAATCCTGCATTCTCTTCCCACAATCGGCAAACTATCTCTGAAACAAATGTATAGCCATCATGTGTCATGCAGTCACTTACAGTCTTTTGCTACAGAAATTGGGTTATTCCCCCCTTTAAAGTCTTGTAAGTAAGTAACTACACCTGTGAAGAGGAAGAGTCTACCCTCCATATTTGCTGCAGTTAGGAACACAGGAAAGTGGAAAATTGTGAATAAAAATTATTTTTTTACCTGAGAATATCAAGGAATTTTTAGATCTTCCCATATGACTCTGACCAGCTTCCACTGTAAAGTGGCCGTAGAACCATGTACATCCCACTTCACCCAATGGGACTTGCCTCTCAGAGGCTTTTGTGAGGCTTTTTGACATTGTATTAAGCATTTTTATTGGATGAAACCTCATCTTCCCTTCCAGGAGCTTATGGCAATCAAGAGTTCCACCTTATTCTATATTCACAATCTTGTGAAGTAGATTGGTCGTAAGATATGATGACAGAGCCAAGGATACCCACTGGATTGTGCAGCTTAATGGGGATTTGGTTTCACATCTCCAAATGTCTCAAAATGGTAAATACAGTTCAGTGTGAGCAAGTGTTAAGTATTATACACCAGAGAGAGGGGAAATACTCATGTTAGCATAGAATGAGGTGATAGAGACTAACTAGGATTAAAGAATATCAGGATTTGGGTTCATAACTGAATGAAACAACTGTGCTGCTGCTTTGAAACGGAAAATCCATGTTGAGAATCAGTTTGAAATATCTCAACATGAAAAGCAAGATCATACTATCATAATGAGAATCTATGTTGTGGCCGTACTTGCAATCTACTATTTCTATGCATGCTTCAGATTAAATCCAGACCAAAGTGCATTATTTTTTGATCGCCACCTCTTTAATATCACACCATTCACCTGCATAATACATGAACTTTCATTCTTATGGCAACAAGACTACCACATTTCCTCCTATTAATTTATTAAGCAAAAATTCTGAAGAGATGCAAAAGGATATGTGTTAGTTGCTCTATTCCCAAGAAACTAGGTAAGGTGGAAATATGGCTAAGGACCTTATCACATTGGCATATGGATTTGCCTTGCATTCTGGGATCCCGGCAGGGTGTGTAGAGAACCCATGCCCCACATCGCCTGGTTTACAGCTGGCTTCATCCCATGGAAGAAGCGTCTGCTGCCTGGCTCCCCCCCCCCCCCAATTTTTCTAAACGTAAGCCAGAAATAGATGTGTGTCATGTTATGGACTCTGTGACAAAAGGGAAGAGCAAGTGGCGTACAAAGAGGAAATTAGCCTGTATGATGTCATAGGTTCGCTTGTTGCATTTGTCTGCCAAACTGTACAACCGCCAACCGCTGTTATTCAGTGTGAGGTCAACTTCAAGTTATGACAACTCTATAAATGGTATCTCCAAGAGCCCTGGTCATCAACAACTGCTCTTTTTGAAATCTCGAACTCATGGCTTTCTAGATTGAATCTAGATATCCATGGTCTCCTTCGTTTCCTACTAACTTCCATTTTACCAAGCACTGTTGTGTTTTCTGACAAATGTCATCTCATGATATGTCCAAAGTATGACGGTCCTGGTTTAATTATCTTGGCTCCTAAAGAGAGTTCAAGCTCGATTTCCTCTACAATATAAAAATTTGTCCAAAGTATCCTCTTCCAGCACCACTTTTCGAATGCACCAATTTTCTTCTTGTATGCCACAAATGCAACACCTTGGGCCACACTTCTGGCATAGAAACCCACAGTTGCTAATGACCACCCTGCAGCATCTGCTGCCTGAGTAAGCTCCTTGACACTGCCTGATGTTAAGCCAACCCTATCATTTGCAGTTTCACATGTCTGCTCAGAAGCCTGCCAGGTCTTTCAGAATCTATTTTTGGCACTCTGAAATTTCAATAAGCCAGTTTGAGGTTGGCATGTTGTGTCCATCTTTTTTAAAGAGAACTAGAATTTGGGTGATTACTTTAAAAAGATTGTAATTCACTACAAAGCTTCCCAATAAGGGATATCTTAATGCTTAACATTTTGAAAACCACATTTAGTAAACTGATCTCTTACTAATTGCTTTTCCATTTCAGTTTTTTAAAGGATGGACACCACAATGTTGAAAATGCCTGAAAGTGGTCTTACAGTAGGAACTTCTTTAAAAAATTAAAAGTAGAAAATATTTAGAACAGAAGTGAAAATTGTGCAGCTCACATGGGATATTTTGCAAGATCTCTTATGGCTTTTGAGACCTCCCTCCCCCCAATGGTACACCTACACCCCACTGTGCGCAATTATTTGGCTAGAAAGCACCAGTTGAGCCCACTAGTGTTTCCAAGTAACCTTATTTTGTCTATAAAAATGCCCAGAAGTCACAGATCATCACCTCCAGCCCACCAAAATGGTACCTGTGATGGAGTGTTGCATCTCTCCAGAAAAGCTAGAAAAGGTGGTATGCAGCCCCTTAAGAGTGCTTTCTGCTTCACATTTTTACATGCTCATTTCCAAAGACAGAATGAAAATAAATAACCTTTCTTTGTTTCTTGGTAAATTTCAAGAGTTGGGAGCAGAAATGTTTCAGATTTTGATTGTTTATGGATTTTTGAATACTCGCATTTGCATATACATACATCATGGGATATCTTGGAGATTAAGCCCAAGTCTAAATATGAAATTCATTTATGTTGCCTATACATCTTATACAAATAACCTGAAGGCAATTTTATTCAATTTTTGCAATAATATTGTGCTTGGGACAAAGTACATGTACATTAAAGCAAAACTTTAACATGAAGTATTTTGAGTATTTTGGATTTTGGAACAAGGGATGCTCAACCTGTATTATTAATCCAAAGCTATAAAAGAAACCCCCCTGTGAAAATACTATACTGCCTTGGAGCCTCATCCATTGGGAAAAGTGCAAAGTGGAAAACACCTCACTCTCCCTGGCATCACAAAGAGCATCACAGAAGCATAGCTTCATGCACATGGGGGAGAACTGGGTT